AGAGAGAGAGAGAGAGAGAGAGAGAGAGAGAGAGAGAGAGAGAGAGAGAGAGAGAGAGAGAGAGAGAGAGAGTGAGCTTGGAATCTGTGGAGTGGCCGGTTGAATCTATCCCGAAGAGTCAATGTGCTGCAGTATACAACTCATTAGGCTACAGACTGAGGAGAAGGACACACCCAATGGAAGAAGTGCTGATAAATCGGTGGTAGGACAAGATGGCGGTAACCCTAACACAGCCACTAGGCCTACCTTGGTCTCAACTCAATACTCTCAGACGGAAAAGTGAAGAAGGACAAGTTGACCATGATGTGGCGGCTTGCCCCTTGTCACTCCCACACTCTCCTACCTCTCCCATCTCTCTCTCTCTCTCTAGGCCCTTTTCTCTCCACCTTATCTCGGACCACACTAGAACCTCATTTTCCCAGTTCACCGCACCTGGTCCCTCAGAAACTGAAGCCTCTGTGGCCAACAACGCGAAGAAGAAAGGAGCACAGGAATCTGAGCGATGAACTATGCAAAGTCGGTATGGAGGGCATTAGAGAAACAATGAGCCACTACCTCATGAAGTGCCACAATGCACAGAAAATATGGCGCGAATGATAAAGAAATTATGGGCTGAGATCACGGACGTCCCGTTGCCAGAGGACACAGTCTTGCTACCGACAGGGAATGCTCCTCCCACTGACTGGACAACCTTTGAGAAGGGAAGCTTGCAGCTGCTTCCACAATACGGCCTTCGGGCAATCTGGACGAGCAGGCAATTTATGGATCCGTGCATCTGGGCCTCATCCCTCCTCCATGCAAGCACAGATTCAATCCGGCAAGCTTGGCCTCAGGAGCCAAGTCTCTTAACCACTACAGCCAGGACCCGGTGTTCAAAAGTGGAACCATACCGGTCGTAATATCCACCTCGCCCCTGCAAGGCTGTAGCGCCCAACTCAACACACACCACACACAAACACCACACGGACGCACCACACAGGCGCGGCAATTCTCGCACACTTTGCTCCAATCAGCACGTAACCCCCCACTGGTACTTGTACCCGATCACCCAAACGGGACTTACAGCATGACCGCAAGTTCCACAAGCGCATTCACAGTAGTGTCAACACACGATCGACAACAGCCAAACTACCCATCCAGGAGGCTAGCGTCTTCACCCGAATAGAACGCCCGATCATTATAGCTGTATTTGGTGCAACTTTCAGTCCAGATACGGCAATAATTAACAGGCGTTCTATTCGGGTGAAGACGGTAGGGGGATTTTAAGAAGCCTGCTGGAAACGGACATCAGAGCACAATGGAATAAATTTCAATAAAACGAAGAAAAAGATCGACCACAACCCAGCGGATGCACAGGTGCTCATCAAAAACGTTTTCTCAAACAGTTCTCGGACGGGGAAAGGTGGCAACGATAGAGAGTAACAGATTGCTATACAAATGGGCGGCTTATTATGGGGCCACCTTTCAAATAACTCAAGGGATCAGGGTGGAGATAGCAGCGGCCAGGAACAGGAAACACGCACAGGAAGCCCCTAAGGGGGGGGGGCAGAGGCGAGGATGAGAGCAAGAGAAGACAAAGGGGGGGGGCATCGAGCTGAAACACCAGTCAGGGAACAGACGAGGGATAAGGTAGGGTTTAGGGTTTAGAGGTTCTGGCACAACTTTTAAGCTGCATGGGTGCTCTCACTGGTTTAACAGGGTTCAAGGAGCTAAGCGAAGAAAGCGGCAGATAGCAGTACAGCTTGCCCCGTTGATTCAGGTTTCTCAAGTTTCTGCCTTATTAAGGCCAGCTTGAGGTCTCCGTGGCAGGCAGCAATACAGTCCGTCCCCTTTTTGTCTGTTTTGGCTTTGCGAGGACAGTTTGCGGTTTTTGGTTGCAGTCAATGGGACGGTGGACCCGGTTTCCAGCTCAAGCCTACCTTGGTAAAGGCTCCAGAACACTCCGGGTTGAGATGTTGAGGACTTCCCATCCTCATTTTTTGGACATATAATAAAACTGCACCCTTAAAAACAAAACAAAAAAAGAAGGAAAAAAAAAGGAAAGAGCCATGCGACCCCCACGCATGAATTCTTCGTATTCTACGGGCCTCGCTCCACCACTCACCACATGCACAAAAGTCAACGAATTATGGTCCTGTATCTTTCCATGTTGTAGCGGAAGATTCGTTCTCATTTTGTGCATTTGGTGAGTTGGGGAGCGAGGCCCTATACATCTGCCTTCCATCTCCCAGTGCAGAGACCATCAAGACATAACAGGAAAAGAATCTCCACAATGGCAGTTAAAAACAACAAAGATGATTGTGCCAATTTGTAGTAAAGCACACACCGCAAATTGATCCTGAATCCAGATCCCGATCATCTGATCCTGAACCCAGATCCCAATCATCCGATCTCTTCTGATTCCGCCTGACCTCCTCGGCCTCTTATAACCCTGCTGAACCCAGATCTTTGTAGACCCAGATCCCGATCATCTGATATCCTCTGGTCCCTTCTGATCTCCTCAGCTCTTTTAGGGTGAGATAACACTGGCAAAGGGGATTGGAATACGAAGATACGTGTATGAATCTGGACGTTTTCCACACACAGATGCAGAAAAAAACCAGATTAATCACAAATTTTTGCACCTCTCCACAAAAACACGTCCAGATTCAGACACTTACTCCAATCCTCTTTGCCAGCGGGATCTCGCTGTTAATCCTGAACCCAGATCCCGATGGTCTGATTTCCGTGGGTCTCATCTGAACCCATATCCCGATCGTCTTATCTCCTCGGATCCCCACTGATCTCCTCGGCTCTTTCGATCCTGAACCCAGATCGTGAACCGCGATTCCGACCGTCTGATCTCCTTTGATCTCCTCAGCTTTTTCGACCCTCAACCCCTCAGCTCCCTACTTGCTTTTACCTATCACTCATGTTCCATTGTGTTTGGATTTCAAGCTTTCATATCTGGCAAAGGAAAGGAGGGGTGCATCGTGTCCAGTTAGCCTCCACTAACCTCCAGTTAGCCTCCAGTAACTCTGGTTAACCCCCGGTAACTCTTGTTAGCCCCCACCAACTCTGGTTAACCCCCACTTACTCTGGTTAACCCCCGCTAACTCTGGTTAGCCCCCACTAACCACTGCCCTTTCAAATCACGCGTCTTTCAGGAGCTGTGGTCACTTCTTCTGCTGTTGCTGCTGCTGTTGGTGCTGCTGCTGCTGCTGCTGCTGTTGCTACTGTTGCCACGTGCAATGGAAAAAGAATTTAATGAATGATGATCTCATGGAAGGGAAACAAGACGATCCATCCGTGCCACAATAGATAATCCAATCGTGTGTTTGAATCCTTGTAAAGATAATGATTCACGTGCCATTCGACGTTCTCCGAGGTAGCATCTCGATGGGACACCATCGGAGACATTATCCCACGAGACATCGTCAGAGATACAGCCCCGTCAAGAGAAGGCCAATAATCGGACCCCCATGGCTGATGGATGCGATAAGGACACTCGACGCTATCAATTAGCAAAAGAGGCCCATGCTGTCGTCCACGTATAGCCCGCCACCAATCCCTGATGTTGATGATGCTTCATCATTGACGACAACCGTCCTCATCCGACATGTAACAATATCCTACAATGGTGTGTGATTGCCCCTGATCATAGTATGGAAAGAGTGTTGTAAGTCATAACCCACGAAGCTGGCACTGTGATGAAGATGAACTGAGACATGCATGCATATCATATAATACATGGAGTGGCTGCCACGTGGCGCAGTTGCCAGGCGGCATGCCACTTGACGTGCCTGTCACACTCCGCATCTTCCACACGCCACTGCTGTCATGTGGCGCATCTGCCATCTCACGAACGGGATTTGCACCCTCAACCTAAGCCTCGGCAACGCTGGCGCTTCTGCCATGCAAAGCATTTACCATGTGGTGCCTCTGCCACATGGCTCTGTTGCCAGGTGGTGGTAGAATGGCCGCATGGCGCTGCTGGCATGGACCCATGAAGCTGACACTCAGATGATCTGGTATGCATCCAAATCATGGGCTACGAGCATACTCACGCTAGCGATATCGTAAATGCATCTGAAATCAATTACAGCCCGACTTGCATGTATCGGACCGCAACTCAATCCAGAAATGAGTAAACAGGTCCTACTGTAGTGTGAGTATGCCCTATGTGGGATGCTGCTTCTGCTACTGCTATTGCTCCTCCTACTGCTGCTGCTGCTGCTGCTGCTGCCGCCGCCGTTGACATGGACCTCCTCACGACTCCACCGATGAAGAAGGAAACCTCATTGGCCTGATGATGGTATATAATCTTCTGTATGTATGTACACAATCGTTGGTGGAGCGCAATATGGCCCCATGATCCATTCTCCCTCCTTGTTGTGGTGTAAATCAGTCATTCTCACTCTTGTCACGGTATATCTTTTGCAAGGTTTTGATGCCGAGATCAATCCCCCAAAATGAAGGGTTGGGATCGCTCCGGCTCAACAACCACAGAACATGTTCAAAAAGAACCTCGTCGCAACCGACATGAATGATTCTATCAGTCCGTTGCCCTACCACCACTTTCGTCTCCCTCATCAGCACTCTGAAGACCTCTGCTCGAAGCCAGTCTGTGCGAATCGTGTAAGGAGCCCACTCCTCGCCGACGAAGATCGTTGCAATCTCTCCGAAGTTGTCGCTGCTTGCATGATGGAGTGGACTTCCTCCAACCGCCGTGAATGAGATACTAGAACAGCTGCGTGATCTTTGAAGGCGACGAGGACCCGGCACCATCACCGGTGGTGCTTGGTCATGCCCGGACAGAGGATTGTCATTTCCCTTCTTGCCATTCTTTCCACTTGCCTTTTCCGTCCTCCCAATCTTCAACAGGGAAGGGAGGTGTTCGATTTGTTCGGACAAGCCATCGTCATGATGTTTTTTGTGCATGGTAGTGAACACCCCCCCGCATTGGGAACGGAACTCCAGATCAGATTGGGAATGATCGAGTTCCACGTCAGGTTGGGACTGACACTCCAGATCGGGCTCGCTGTCAAAGGACGAAACTGGAGCCTCATCAGCTACTAGTGGTTTCCTCTTTTGGAAAAGCTTCCCTGTCTGCCGCAGGGTCTGGTACCCGTTCACATTATTCGAATTGCGATAACTGTTCCATCGAACCAGTGCACGGCGAACACTGAAATTCACCATCGCATCTCTCTTGGCAATCCTTTTTTTCCCCTTTTCGTATGTGTATGTGTGTGTGTCTGAGGACGTCAACCTTCAGAGACCTGAGAGAACATCCTTCTTCAACTATGCTGCTGTGAAACACTGCCACGTGGCATTCCCGTCGGCAATGGTGACCTGCATGACCAGTTCACAGGAATGTATACAAAATAAGAATACCATTAAAAACAACTTAAAAAAAGTTGAAATGAGCTATATAGCCTTGGGCACCAGCAGTGCCTTTTCACTCTTTTCTCTCCCTAGACTGTGCACAGGTCTTTCAAAAAAAAGAAAAAAAAAAAGTTAAAAAAACTATACACAAAATGTGGATGCCTAGTGGAGGAAGGTCACACATCCCCTCAGAACTGTTGTCATACACACACACACACACACACACACACACACACACACACACACACACACACACACACACACACACACAGAGTGTGTGTGTGTGTGTGTGTGTGTGTGT